CCCCCCCCCCCCCCCCCCCCCCCCGAGACCGCCCTTCCGCCACCCACCCACCGCGATCGCAGGACCGCGACCGGGGGGGGGGGGAGAGAGGGTGGGGTGGGGGGCTCCTGCCATCCTGGGCGGCTGTTTCCCCTTGGTACCAGCAGGGGGCACCAGGGGCCAGCCTTGTCTTCCCCAGGGCTTCCTCCAGGCTCTTGGAAGGCAGACTCGCTGGACTGGGCACACATTGGCACAGGAGACACCAAATGCCAAGGTGTGGTCGGTCTGCAGGGAAAAAAAATCTATTGGAGTGGTTGGGGAGGGTCTTTCGCCCCACTGCCCCTCCCCACAAATGGTTGCTTTTTTCAGCAGTTCACGGCTTGTTCCTCCTTGGACTTGGACGGCTCAGTCACGGCCACCACGTGTTTGGGCACCCGGGAAAAGCTTTCCCTGGAGCAGAAGAGGCTGCTCTCCCCACGGGGCATCGCTTCCTGGGGACCCACGACCCCGTCTCAGCCTGGGTCGAAGAGACGCTGGGGCTTTGCCCTGGTCCTGCCGCTGCTCCAGGCGGCCTCCCTGGGAGGCTGCGGGATGGGAACGCTCCCCCCAATCCCCCCAGCAGTCCGGCTTCCCCCTGCGCCATTTGGTCTCCTGCGCGAGCGAGAACAGCGCGAGCTCTCTCCAAGGCGCCTGGGGGAAGGGGCGCGGGGGCATCCCGGCCCCGGCCTGCGGCTGAGTCTTTGTCCCTTTGTCCCAAGGCTGGCTGGAGAAAGGCCCCCCCCCATGCAGAGTCCCTTAGAGGGGGTTGCAAGGGGGATGTGCTCACAGATGGCAGGGCCCCGGGCCGGGCGACTTGCTCCCCGCCAGGCCAACCTCACCCCAGCCCTTTCCCACCAACGCTGCTGCCTCAGCCCCCTCCCCAAAAGGGACAGCTCTGCGCTTTCCAGCCTCAAAAAGAAGAAAGCAACAGTTGTCTCCAGGCAGGGCAAGGATCTGGATGACCTGGATTTTCTGTGTGGCTGAGCAGGGTGAATGGAGCATTGAGAGACCCATGGCTGGCACCTCCGCCAGGGAGGGACCCCCCTCCTCTCATCCTCGCCCCTCGCCTTGCTTTTTCATTTCCTTCCTGGAAGGTGGCGGCAGGGGGAGACCATCCTGGGCTCCTGTGAGCAGGCGGGCGGGCAGGCAGGCAGGCAGGCAGGCAGGC